AATCTCATTATATACATGTTAAAAATTGACAATTAATAAGTTACAGTACAAATATGTAAAAATTGTTTAAAAGGAAGGAATTATATTTTGTTATAATAAAAAGCAGTGTCTAATTTAAATACAGTTTGAAATCTGCACATCATTGCTTCCGATGTACACATCGTGACTTGCAAAACACTTATTCATATGATCAAGAAGTTGTGATTGTAAAGGAAATGATTGTTAAAAAATAATTATTATTATACTAAATAATGATGATTTATATATAATATGTTAGTAGAATATAAATAAATATCTTATATACCACAAAGTTCCGATTAAGTTCTCAGGGAGTTTATTTTCAGGAGATTATTCTGAGCTCTCAGAGAGTTTAACTTTTTTATTTAAAGTATTTTATAATTAAAAAAAAACGATTTATTTAATATTCCGAACAATTTTTTTTCTAACAACTGCCTTTGTGTACTATTATATAATATTATATAATATCTCGATGCTCTTTAATCTATTTTCGAATTCAAATAAAAATTTTAATGCATTTTATCTCATTTCATGTTTTATATTTTAATAATTTAAAAATATAATAGGAGATCTTATTTTCGTTTTTTAAATAAAATGGAACAATTGTATGCATATGCGCGCGTGTGTAAGATTTTCTTATGTATAACTTCATTAACAGTTTAATTGTTAATTATTAATTGTCAAATCATTCTACGATATGTGTTTTTCCATGATTAAAAGATGATAGATTCCATTGTTTCTATACCAGTGCTTGGAATTAGTTGCACATTTCGGGCCGATTTCTGAAGCGCTGTTTACTTTTCCCCTACTAATAATAAGTATTACTCAACGCTTGATGTGTATTTCTCGAGTGTCGCAATATAATATGCTGCAATCGTACCTTCCAACTAATTATCATCAAAATATTTTTTCCTTCTTACATAATTGTTATTTTCTTAATAATATGGTAATTAAACACCATATTAATAAGTAAATACATTTTACTGAATGCAATGTACTTTTAAATTACTTTTACTTCAATATTTTTATAATATATTCGGTTTCTTTAAAAAAACTGCTGATTACACTTTTGTGCCATAGAATGTAATATCTTATAATATAGAAATTTACTTTACCACGTTATCTGATCATTTTTTTGTATTATTTTTTAGTGAAATAAACATTTTAGTGGAGAATGTACTTAAAAGACGCATCAATAATAAAACTTTAAAAATAATATTGAAAGTTATTGTTCACATTATAATTATTGTATTGTAATTATTGTCAATTATATTGCAAAATATATTTATATTTTAATATATATTTATATTTTAATAGTAGACAGTTTGATTTAATCAAGAAAATAACAATTATGTAGGAAGAAAAATATTTTAATGATAATTTGCTGAAAGGTACAATCACAGCATATTTCTTATAATGCGACTCTCCTAAGATACACGTCCGCGCGCGATCCGGCTCGCTTTGCTCCGGCGCGGCGGCCGTAGAGCGTTGAATGAGGGAAAAGTAGACGACGCGATGCTTCAGAAATCGGAATATACAATTAATTCCGAGCACTGTTCTAAACCATTGTTCTTATATGTATAATAATAACAATATTCTAATTCTACTATATTATATCTAGAGCGTGTATTATATCTATCCGCCGCCGCTGCCGATCAAACTAGAATGAGCCGATGCCGGGTAATCATGTCGCGGCGAACGCCGAGTGTACGAATTGTGCACGATACTCAACACGCGACAGTCGACACTAAGAATGGGATATCCAAAAATATCGGTATAGCTAAATGTCGGCAGGCGAAATATCAATATAGATAATATTGATATAGAATATCGTCTTTTCTAACAAAAAAAATTATAGGTTCGCATCTCGCGCTCCAACACGCTCAAACGTGTTTCTACCATTTCAACACGCTAGTTGGAGTAAGCACAAGTATCCCAGAGCACGCACGTTCAGATAAATAGAAGGATCTTAATATGAAATTTAAAAGCGTAATCAAAGTCAGCACTCCTCGAAACATTTTTAGAAAAATATATTACACGAGATGATGTAAATTGAAATACGCGATCACTTGAAGAAGTTGAAGATGTCTGCAATGTCTACTAAACAAACTTTTCGAGCTTACGAAAATACCGGCTTGCGCCAATTGTTCCAACTTAAACGACTAATTAGAGACTCGCAATAGTACGCTATTGTCAGCGCCTTTGCACTAATCACGCAATACTAATGCGTCTCTGATTGGTCGTTTGAGTTGCGACATAATCGGTGCAAGGCGGCGTTTTTGAAAGATCGAGGATTTGCGATTGAAAAAATTCGAAATTTTACTATTATATCGAATACCGATATGATGCAATATCGATATTTGAAAATATATCTGAAGCTGGAATATTGATTAAAAATGTCGCTATATCAGCTGAGGAAAATCGATATTTCGATGTATCGGTATATCGCCATCTAGATGCATTTGGGGAGATGCTATTAGCGCTATTTGTGTCAGTCTATCTTTGTTTTACTAATAAATAACGAAGATAGAATGACAGAGTAGTGCTAATATAGCGTCTCTCCGAACGTATCATTAGTCGACACTCAACAGGACAATTCAAGTGGCATTCTTTATTACTATCACTATTATCTATTGGACTACTTTTAAAGTGGACAAAGAAAACGTTTTTTTCTGAATCTCGAAAACGGTTTTATAGATATGGTAAAATGATTAAAAAAATACTTTATTGTAAAATGTTTTCGAAAAACTTTTGAAGTAAGCTACAAGAATATGCAATAAAAAATGGGAGGTTTAATTTAAGAAAACATCGATCACATTGACCTAGCTTTGAAAAGATCACTCAAAATCAAGTACATATTTTTATCATCTGTTCCTCTTAATGTCTTATTACTTTTATCTGAAACATTTTTTTTAAATCCAGAGCTGTTTCCAAGATCCAGGAACAGTCAGACTTTAGAGACGTCTTTTATATTGTATAATACGCGCCCATCGGCGCCGCCGCAGCCGTGATTAAACGACTAGCGCGTGCCGCCGATATATATGTATATGTGTGTGTGTGTGTATATAGGGAAAGCCAATATCATCTGAAAGGATTGTTATATAATAATATCTATCTTTATGAAAAATCGTCTATATATAAATCTGATAGAATCAAATTTAATTTTGCACATAAAATAATGAGATTAAAGTTAAGTGAGATTAAAGTTTGTATAGATACTTAGGTTATATAGATACTAAGGTTGGAATTATTTATAATATTGTAGACAATTAGTTAACAACGTAATATACATTGTAAGTAGCGTTTAATATTAGTTTTTAATTGTGATACTAAAGATGACTAAATACATGATCAAAATGTTTATCGATATACATGTAAAGTGAATTAATATACAATTGCATTGTTAACACATCTTAAAATATAAATGCTGGAACCCCCTATAATGGCTAAATTAAATAAATTCAATGTATCTTTAGGATATATTTTATACGTATCAATTGCAATTTAGCCATTATAGGGGGTTCCAGCATTTCGAGAAAATGCTATTAGTGGTTTTTTTTGCCATTTTATTCTTGTTTTGCATCTAATGAACAATATAAATGGAATAATACAAAGAGCTTTAATAATGCCATTCCGATCTCACTGCCGTGCAGATTACTCACGATCAGTTAAAAATTGAATGTCATATATACATGACGCTATATTGTTTTATTTCTTTTCATGCACTTTTTACTCATAGAGCGTCGATTTTTATTACTATTATATCTATTTGTAAATATATATAGAAATATGTAAAAAAACGATTATATCACATTGCAATAATATATTAGATATTGATATAGGTATTCCTGATATAGAAATGATTATAAAGTTGTACTAGTATGTTATATTTATCGTTACAAATAATATTACACGTAATATTCCTGACGTTTGTGTAACATTATATTTACATCTACATCTACATCTAAGTTACATGTTGTAGTTTACTAGATTGATATATGTCAGTATGTGTATATAAATATAAAAGTTTATATTTGTTTTTTCAAAACAAATGTTATTGTAATTCGTTTTTAAATAAAGATTTGACGAAAATGACATCTACTAAAATTCTTCAGTATATTTCTATTGGCTTTATAACGACGCTTTTATAAAAAAATTTAAATTTATTTTATCCGTGCTATCATCAATAATAATATTAAAAATTTCTATCCTATCAATGTTTGATAAAAAATCTTTTACAAAAATTTTTTGTACACTATATCGGACTTCTTATGAAACGTTATTTCTTGATTGTAACAATAAATTAGTACATCTCCAATAACACATAAGTATATAAACAACGATTTCTGAAATCTTAATAATTGAAATGTAATGTATAGGTTTGGCCATAAATACATAATACATCCCCATAAATTAATATAAATTCTATATTTAACAAAAAATAAATAAAAAGAGTTTTATTAAAAAATAATATTTATTTTAACAATTTTAATATTTTGTTAATTCTTTAGATTTTATTAATGCCTTTTCCAACAAAATGCGTTAAATTGAAGATATTTTATTTTTTTACCAAGATTGTATTATATATGACAAAAATAATTAAATTCATAAACTTGATGATTCTTTGAAGAATTTTCGAATATGTTATAAAGTATTGTATTATAAAGTTTAATACTGAGATGTTCTGTCATATTTTTCTTTCTTTGTCATTTTTTTAAAACAAGCGTTTTTAACAAAAACGTTATATAAATCTTTGTATTATTCCGTAAAAATACATTACATTGTAAAAATATATACTACAAATACATAAAAATACATACAAATACATACAAATACATACAAATGTTCTCAAAGATTATATATGACATCAAATGTTTTATTTCTTTATACAACATAAAAAGAGATTTGAAAATAAATTCGCAAATGTAACTCTTGCACAATAAAGACATATTGTAAGTAAAACAAAATCTGTGTTTTTAAATAAAATTTAAAACATAAATTTCAATAAGACGCCTATCTTAATTATATCATGCGAACATGAATTTCTTGATAAAACTTTGAAACAGAATTTGGCTCTTATTTTAGTCTAATATTTCATGTCAAATCGTATTATACATCGTATTAATATTGTTACGCATCTCAGAAAGATGTCTATAAAATGCTAGAGTAATAATCAAATATTCTCGCTGTAATAAATCACATGTAATTTCTAAGAATCCCTTGTAGATCGTTCTTAATACAAGTAAGCCAAATCCATCTTCATTCATACTTGTAAAATATCATTATTTCGCGTTAATCTTTATTGCATTGCAGAAATATTGGCAGAATAATGCTAAGGTTGGAAGAACGTCTCGTTATTTATGTGAGTATGACATTTAATTATCTATATCTATGTCTCAAGAATTTAATCTGTTCTTTAATAAACTATTCTTAAAAGAACTTTGAAAAATCATTCTTCTGCTCTCACAGTTACAATCCTATAGCTAGAAGAACTCCGCAAGTCTTTTAATTGGATTTATCATATTTCTTGTTGAAAATTGCGTTACCATTAACACTAACAGAGCCATTAATAGCGTCATTAGTCTTCGATACCCGTCCTACTTTTGAGATCAAATAATTATTCACATAAAATGATCCAAACATGTAAGTGAACAAGCCAGCATTAATCATGAGCAGAAATGACAGTGATTTGGGGAAATTACAGCTAGTAAATTGCATTTGAAAATTGTGGAAAAATATTATGATAAACTGTACAATCTGCAAGATAGTCAGGTATTTTTTCCACCAAAGATACTTCTGCATATATGGCCCGAAGGCAGCTAACATGTAGTAGGTGTACATAAAGACGTGGACGAAGGAGTTGATGACACCAAGGAGAGTCGGGTGACCACCGGCAACGAATTTCACACCGATCCAGGCACAGATTGGCATCAGTGAATGATGGTAAAGATGCAGGAACGTGATCTGTTGATCTTTTTTGCGCAGAACAAAGAACACTGTGTCCAGTAGCTCAATCAATTTGCACATAAAGTACAGATAAACGCCATTGGCCATCTACAAGAGCATAATTAAATAAAGATCAAACAGATATTATTAATGATATGAACTAATGATACATTGTAATTATCAAGTCAAGCAACATTTTCTTCTGGCAGAACGGAATGTTCTTTCACTTAAAGCGGACTTGAAATCTATACTGAATTCGAGCACCAGTTTACAGTTGTCGCAATAACGGGTGTAATGATAGGAACCCGTCGCGTCACAAAAATACGAATGTCTCCAAAAGTCTTATTATCAATTTTCCTATACAGCATAGAACATCGCCAAGTAGCAAATATATGTATTGCGTAGCATTAGATCTTTATGTTGTAACGTTATCGTAATATTGGAGCAGCAATAAAAACATCCGTTTTGAGAAAACTTGCAATGTAACATCTCGTAGTGTATTAATGCAACGTCATGACATATATGCAGCAATATTACATATTAGGTGTCTAATAATTTTAATATATAAATATAAAATGAAAGGGAGATGTTTTTTACACTATAATTTGTAAAATTGCAATATTACTGCAATACCTCTAAACTATTTTATACTGTATATAAATTACTATTATTATTATTTCCGTACTCTATAAATTATTATTATTATAGAGTTATTATATTAATAACGTGTTTCACAGACTCACCCTCACTGAACTCGGTTTATATGAATAATCGACAGGTTGACAAATAAAATTATATTCGTACAACCACCCAGCCATCAAACCTTCATAAACAAGATAAACGCTTACAAGAACTTGGATAAAATTATAAATTATCAGAGTATTTCTCAAATCGTATGGCTTCTTGTCCTTCATATATCTCGGTCCGGCGGAAATGCAAAAATATATATATGTCGCTATGATCGTTAAAACTGGACCAGGACTAGATACCAGAAACCATTCTTGTGTTCTTGGATCTATAAGCATTTTAATGTATAATGTAACTATGTAACATAATGTAATGTAATTCAGTATAACGTTAACATGTAATATTATTTTTCACAAATGTAATTTTGTTATAAAATCACCATATTTGTTGTCGATCACATCTCTATACCACTCCACAATGTACGACATCTCGTAGTCTGACTTTGTAAATCTGCAAAAATGCACATTATAAATTAGTTTTAAAATATCAACGTCTTATTCCTCAAAAATAAATTTTATATTTCTGTGGAAATTTTAAATATATTTCTCTTCTATATACATCCTGCGCGCGTACTGATTACTGTACATTTGAAAATGTAATTCTATGAATGGAAACTGAAATAATAATATTACAAACTAAATGGATATGCAATTTAATAACAATAAGTTTAAAATACTGCAAAAAATTTATTACAGTATTCTTTGCAGTATTTTAAGATATTTATGAACATTATCAAATTACGTATATCAATTTAATTTGTAATATTACTGTTTCAGCTTTCATATAAAACTGCGTTTTAAAAAAAATAATAATATGATCAAAGTGCAAATATTTTTGTTTTAAATTCAAGCTACAGAAGAATTTATTTTAATGACATCCTAATAACAATTTACAAGTACTAAAATATAAAAGCATAATTTTATAATAATAATAATAAAAATATTTATATGTTCTTTTTTTTATAAAGACTTATAATAAATGTACAATAAAAAAGAAAAACTAGTGGAAAAACATTTATCAAACAAAGTATCTTACATAAAAATTTAATTATCTTATTAATTTAAATTTATGAATCATACATAAATTAAAAATAATGAGTTCAAACAAACTTGTAAGAAGAAAAGACTAGATTACTCTATGAACAGTTGCAACATTGTACTGCAAGTTGCAGTTGTTCACATTTAAAAAACAAATGATTATGAAAGTGCTATGCATTGTTATGTCTCTCCTCGACTGTCCTTGGTAATCCTAATGACAATATAAATTACGCGAGGGGCGGTAAAAGGATAGGAACTTGTTTGCGCCTTTTCCTAAATTACAATGAGCAATTGCAACGTAAGATACGTGTATGCAATTTTAATTAGTATTCAACGAGCAATTTATGTAAGATGTAATTTATTTTAAATGTCTGAAATTTTATAAATAGGCCGAACAGTCTTTTTCTTTAACATTAATTACATTTCATTTATATATTTTTTATAATTAATTACATTATTGTTATATATTTTAATTTCTTTTTAGAATGATTAATTATATTGTTTCTTAGAAATAATGTTTAAACTCTTAAAATTTGCTGATAAAGACATTTAAAAAAGTTTAAATTTAATTTACGATTTTAGATATGACATTATTTAAAAGAAAATTATCAGGTAAATTAAATAGTATGTAATTATTTTATAATGTTATTGTAAAAGTTTCTGCGGCGCAATGATGTTAATAAATGAATATTTAGCAAAAATATATAAGAATTAATTTTCTATATTATTGTAATGTTAATTATTTCTTTTTCAATCTTTACATATAAAGAAAGCCACTATAGCGTTGAATCAGTGTTATAGGTATTTTGAGACAAGAATTATAATGAAATAAAGTATTACATTAAAAAAAATTCACAAAATTTAATTAAATATTTGTTTAGATAGTACCGTAATGGGACTATTTAGTTACAGTAAATAAATATTTGTTTAATTAAAAAAAATTATACTTAAATTTAAATATCATTTTTTTAAATCAAATAAATATTTATTTTTTGTAAGTAAATAGTCTTATTGGTATTATTTAAATAAATATTTATTCAAATATCGTAAATTTTTGTTCAGTGTTTCATAACAATCAAAAGTATTATAAATATTTTAATTAAGGAAAAATTCTGTAAGTTTTTAAAAATAGCCATTCACTAAAGATTTAATTAATGTCATGTAACTTTCTTGTGGTAATGTCTGTTTAATATTTTGTAATTTATCGAATAATTTTTTATGTATAAAGGAATATATCAGATGACAAGTATATTGGAGCAGAACTGACAAAATTTGCGACACAACATTATTGTTATGTGTGATATTTTCAAAAATTTTGAGTTTTATATTCATATCTATCGTATGTATTATCGGGTCAAAGATATCTAAGTCAAGTTTGTACCAAGGTAAACAAGATTACTATAGTAATTGCAGCAAAACTAATAATTCAAAGAATTAAATACACGAAAAGCATACTATACGCAAGATCTTTTTAGCAGAAATTATATTTAAATTTTCTTACATATGTGTGATCATAAACTTTTCGGACTTAATTAGTCCATTTTCAGTATATTGATGGCATTGATTACAAAATTGATTTTACAGATATATAACAGTTTTTTATCTATGTGTGATGAAAAATGCGTTTGCGCTACAGTAATTCTTCTTATTTGTAATGTAGTCCATAAGTTTTATAAAGTTTATTTATTAAGTTATAATGTGCTTTTCTTCTTTAAAATTTGTTAAAAAATCTTAAGTTATTGTTTTTAAAAAATTGTTATATTTTGAATGTGTTATTTCAGATTTTTACAATCAGTTTAATACAGAAATCTCAAATTCTATAAAATGAATATAGTATATCAATAATCGTTTTTTAATAACAAATAATTTATTTTAATTTTATCCACCAAATCCGTATTGAATATAAATTAAAAAAGTTGTTACCTGTGCAAACCGATGTATTAATCCAGGAATATAATTTATTTTATTCTCAATAGAGATAGATTAAACGATGATATAGCTGTCCTGACAAAGATTGAGAGAGAGGCAGTCTTTGTGGAACAATATATGTTTTGTAGGAAGTAGGGAGTCGTAGGAGAGGGAAATAGTACAGTATTAAGTGGGAGAATTTTCTCTAAAATGGGGATATATATATAATAATTTTTAAAATGATTAACGATTAATTTTTCTGTGTCCTTCTGCTTACTAATATCAAACTTCTACTTTTTATGTAAATCATTTCAGAAATTATCTTTTTACAATATGAGGGTTCTATGTCAAAATTGAAACTCCATCTCAATCAAATTCGTGATTTTTTCCCCAATGACATAATTGATAACAACTCTGCAATTTTTTTGAAATCTATGTCTAATATGTTCTTTGATTATGGTTTGTAATTACCTTTTTGTTTGGCCTACATATGTAGCCTTGCAATCAAGACAGTTGATTTTATACATCACTTTAATATATCCCATTTTTTCAAGCTTGTTTTTGCTTGTTTTTATAAGTCTATTAAGAAAGTTAAGTTTATAATATTAAATATAATTCTTTTAAATATAGTTTAAAATTTTTCTAAAATGTTCTTAATGGATGGTATTATGAAAAATTTAGGAGAGAGATTACTATTTTGATTCACATTAGACTCTGTGTTACTACTTTTTTTTCAATAATGATTGGTTTTCAATAATGATTAGTTGTTGATTGAAAATTAAATGTGCGAATCAACTCATGAACTACATTACAAATAAGAAGAATTATTGTCACACACACGCACGCACGCACACACGCGGAATGTCCGGATTATTATTATATTAATATTTTACAAAAACCATATGTTTATGTCGGTAAAGTAAAAAGATTGGTCTAAGATACTAAAACTTCTTTTCAGCAATTCAAAATCAATCAGACAATGTCAATCAATCTCTTGAGAGATTCACAAAAACAATTTTTTTGGTAATAATTTGCAATAATAAAATAATTTTTGTTATTTTTATTATCGTTTGATTGATTTTGGAGCGTTGAAAAGATTAATCTTACCATCTCAGACCAATTTTTTTTACTTTACTGACGTAAACATGTGATTTTTGCGAAAGATTCCGGATTAATACTAATAATGGACCGTAATTCTATGACCACACATTATAATCTTACGTAAGTACCGAATACTTAAAAAAACGTATCCAATCATTTCATCATTAATGTAGTTCAATACAAATAATATGATAATGGCACTTGTGCCATAACAAGCGTGTTGCAAGAATCGACTAGTCATAATGTTGTCTTATGAAATCGTTATTAGTAGTAAATCGTCGTTTAACAACGAGCTCTAAAAGTAACGATCAAGATCTTTGAAGGACGACGATAACTGTGGCCAAATTTCTGTGGTTAACCGCTGCTCATGAGAAAAAAAAGCAATTTCTCTTCGCGGAATACCATATTTCATATTACATACATCATTGCTATTATACCTATGAACGTCCTCGACTTGAGTTGGTTTAAAATTTCCATTTCAATATTAAACAGAAATTGATATATTATTGAATGTAACAAAAAACGAAGAAGAAATAAAACTAAATTAGATCGAATTTTGGCACCACATGCATTGCTCCATTAATAAAAGTATTGAACCCTACTCATGATTTATTATGTAATTATAGGGCGATTCAGGCTCTTGGACAAATAACCTTGAAGCAAAAAATTAAGTATGAACTGTTGTGATAATTCGCCTTCTCACACATAATTAGAACTTAAAGTTATATTAAAAATAAATGTCTAATTTGTAATGACAATTATAAAGTACAAATAAATTATTTTTTCTTCTTATATATATATATATATATATATA